TCCTCCTCCCTCCTCCTCCTCCTCCTCCTCTCTCTCATTCCAAATCCCTCATCTCATCCAATTTCATGTCATCCATCCACTCCCCCCCCCACCCCCCTTCTCCCCCTCTCAAGATTCTCATCTCGTCCAATCTCAATTCATCAAATCTCATTCCATCTCATTTCATGCCCTCCCATCCCATCCCATCCCATCCCATCCCTTCCCCTCCCCTCCCCTCCTTTTATCACCTCGACAATAATAGTAGTAATTAACAGGATGCGCCTCGCCTGCCTACCTAGGTACCTACCTACCTACCTCGCCTACCTCTGCTCGCCAGTCAAGCACAAGCTCCTGTCGTCAGGACATGCGCCAACCACCCTTTTCCCTTTCCCTTTCCCTTTCCCTTTCCCTTTCCCTTTCCCTTTCCCTTTCCCTTTCTTTCTCCTCCCCCCTCCCCCCTTCCCCTTCACCCCCCCCCTCCCTCTCCACCTAGGGAAGCCCAACAAAACCAAATAGCACGCACACGGAATCTCCGTACCGCAACAGATGCACACATCGCATAACATCACACAACACAGCATACCATAGCATACAATAAACAAGATACCTACCTACCTACCTAGAACGATGCATAGAATTAATTAATCATCCCCCCCCCTTCCCCCTTCCCCCTTCCCCCTTCCCCCCTTCCCCCTTCCCCCCCTTCCAACCCCCACCTACCCACCCCACCCCACCCACCCATCACACCCGACCCCCCAAAAAAAAAAGAAAAGAAAAGAAAAGAAAAGAAAAGAAAGAAACAAAGACAAAAAGAGTCCCTGCAGATGATGGATGACCCGACTCAATTAGTAGTAATTCAATGCAATCGGGCGGGGTCGGAGTCTCCACGAAAGCCTGATGCGTACCTACCTACCTACCTACCTACCTACCTAGATAGATACCGGTAGATGAATCAATAACCCCATACGAAGAAGAACCCTACCCGACCGTGCCCTCTCCTAACATACCGTACTCTACTCTACCGTCACCCGACCATGACTCTACCGACCACGACCACGATCACGATCGTGAACCGCGCAAGCAGCAACCAACACGTGTAATTTCAGCATTGGCTCTTTGGTCATGCGCGATGCGATGGGGGGAGGAAAAACATCGACCCAGGACGGTCCTCACCGGTACCGGGACGGGACGGTACGGTACGGTACGGTACAGACATCTCTCATCACGACGGCGTGGATCGTGACGTCAGTGCCGGCCGCATCGCGCGCTGCATCATCAGATGGCTGGTTGCGCGGAGAGAGCCAGATGCCAGTGCCAGATGCCAGTGCCAGATGCCAGATGCCAGTGCCAGTGCCAGTGCCAGACAGCCAGCTAGTGCCAGCCAGCTAGTGCCAGCCAGCTAGTGCCAGCCAGACAGCCAGTGCTAGCCAGCCAATGCCAGTCGGCCAATGCTTCAGGAGCTTCACAATTTCCCACGGGGCAATGGCAGCAATAAAACGGGTTCTCGAATCAATATCATTCCTTCATTTTTTATTGAGATGCACTCGTGGCTCCCTTGCTTGTCTGCTGGATATAGTATCCACTGGTATCCGCCCATCTCTCTCACGTGGAAATCAATAAAAAGTACATTAAAAGGAATACAAGCTCGGCGACCATTAGCGTTCTTGGGTCTCAAGACGCGGTTCCCGATATCTTGGCACGAATCGAAAGGTGCGCACACGATCTCGGCGTCGGAGATCTGGGGCAGTAGATCTTCCCACCCCCTATATGCGTCCGGAGAGAAGGAAGAAAAAAAAAAAAAAGAAGAAAAAAAAAAATTCCCTCCGTCCCACCCCCCAACCCCAGCCACCCTTTCAAGCCAACCCCGAGGTCCGCTGCCGAACCCCAAAGAGCACACGAAAGGAAATTCGTCAACGCATGATCCATCATCTTGGCCCGAGCCACCCGCGAGGAAGGGAGACCCGTTACGAGGTGCCCGTGCTCGCCCATTGAGGGGCTATGTAGTGCGCGTGGCCCGCGCTCGAATTTCCCATGGACCACATATTCTCCTGTTTGAGGCCGGGGCTCTCCACCGGGGTGCTGCTGTACGATTGCGACGGCATCCGCTCAAATGTGGTTTGGTGTGTGGGCGTGGGCAGCGACCGGTGTCCGGTGTAGCTGTGCGGAGTCGTCGTGGTTTCTCGCATGCCCCCGTAGAATCCTTGAGAAGAGTAGCCCGAGTCGGTCGTGAGCTTCGAGTCAGATGACGCAGATGAGATCCCGGAGAGCCCAGGATCCGTTGGCCCCCCGGGTTCGTAGTTCGACGCGCGCCGCGCGAAATTGGTCGTCACCGGCGGCACCTGGGTCCTCGTCGTTTCCGAGCCGATGCCGATGACGGAATTGTATCGCTGCGGTCGGTAGCCTCCCCCGATGTCGTAGCTGCTCTCCGATTTGGTGGATGGGTAGAGGCTGGGGGACGGCGCCGCGTATTGCCCTGCGTATCCGTTCGGCGGCGGGCCCTGCGGAAGGCTCTCGTAGGGCCCATAGTTGTTGTACACGGCCGGGTTCGAGGCGTAGGTGATGGGCGGCGTGGGGAGAGGCATGGGCCGATGCGCGATGCTCTGGTTCGTCATCTCGTAGCCGCTGCGGGCGTAGGGGTAGCTCGAGTACACCGAGCGGTCATCCATGCGATCCATGGAGTCCACCTCGTCGATGGGCGTCCGGAAGTTCTGCTTCGTGATGAGATCGGGACGGGGGGTGATGTGCTGGAATCGGGGATCTTTGGAGGGGGTTGTAAATTTGCTGTTCATCACGTCTGCGACGGTGTAGTACGAGACCAGGTGATGCGACACGCCCCCCACCGTGACGCTCACCGTCTTCTTGACCAGACCTTCTTCCTTGAAGCCGTACGAATCCACGAGGGATCCAATCAGCGACCGCTCGGTCTCTTTGCTGAGCGAATTCGGGTTCTGGGAATCGAAGTTCGCGGCAGCTGCGGACGCCGGGCTGTAGCCGGTGCTCATCCCATGGCTGGACCCGATCGGATCGGGCTTGCTGATGCCCGGCGACCGCTTGCTACGCTTCATCGCCCTCTTCTTCTCTCCCGGGGGGAAGGGTCTCTCTAGTTCCCGGTAGACCAGAAAGTTTCCGAGGATCCGACTGGGGCTCCACGGCACGCCGTCGGTCCACCGTTTGATGCCGGACGAGTGCTCTTCGTAGATGAAGACGTTTCCGCTCTTGATCAGACTGACCCTTTCGCGGTCGTGGGGACGGCGCGCAACGTGGTTTAGCGCGCCACTGAGGCACGCCTCGAAGAGGAGCAGCGCATCCTGTGTAGAGGCGATATGGCCGTAGAAGGTGGGGGAGAGGGGCGAAGCTGATGCCATTGTGTATGTGTGTGTGTGTGGGTGCGGATGGTGGAAGGTGGTGGTTGTGTGGTATTATTAGCGGAAGTTACAGGTGAGCGGGTGATTTTTGGATGTTGAAAGGGGTATGGTTATATAGTATAGTATTCTGGTGGTGATGAATGCGATGTACTTGGTGGTTGTCGCGAAAAGGGAGAGAGGGGTTGTCCGTCTGTTTTTATTGTTGTTGTTGTTGTTGATGTAGTCGTTATAGTTGTGGTAGTTGGGGTTCTTGATATGGTCAAGTCGGTCGTCAGACGACGTCGAGGGAGATGTGCGCGCGGCTAGGACGTCTCTCTCGCTCTCACACACACTCTCTCGCTCTCGCTCTTTGGAGATAAAAAAATGAGAGCGTTCGTTCTTTGAATGTTCACGCCTTCATGGAGGAAGGACTGGACTGGGTAGGGCTGGAACAGGTTCGGATCGCCTTGGAGAATGTGGTTGGAGAGGGAAGATCAATGAGAGACGCGACAGGACGGCGAGATATTGTTATGTTTATTATGCCTTGCCTTTGCCTGGCCTGGCCTTGCCTTGCCTCGCCTTGCCGGGTCTAGTCTCGCGCTTGAGCACCGTTGCAGGTCTGACAAGGAGGGCCCTGGACCAAATGATGTTTCGACGTTCGAGGGGGCCTGGTCGGTAGGGAGTAGGGAGTAGGGAGTAGGGAATAGGGAGTAGGGAATAGGGAGTAGGGAATAGGGAGTAGGGAGTAGGGAGTAGATGGGTCGGGTCAGGTCGGTCAGGTCAGGTCGGGCCAGTATTAAAAGTACTACGGAGGTCGAAGTTGTGATGTACTCTCCGTACCGTAGACCGTAATAGTCGAGCTCGCCCGCGAGATATGATTGCGGAAGGTGCCTGGATCTGATCCGGCCGCGGCGGCAGGGTGGTGGTGGAGGACGGGGTGTAAGGCGTGGAAGGGGTGGAAGGGTGGGATAGCTCGTCGACCTCGGCGTCGTTCGTTCAGTAGGTCCGGCTTACGGCTACCGTTACGACGATCGAGGGGGGGGGGGGGCAGGAGGGCAGGAGGGCAGCAGGCCAACAGGCCAACAGGCCAGTAGGGCAGGGGGGGGGGGAGAGACCAGGGGGGGGGGCAGGGTGGAGCACGAGCGAGCGTGCCTTCCGTTTTGTGTCTCTTTGAGTTCGCTTGGCGTCATGGGGGGTCCCCTGGGACTGAAGCAAATGAATGCCGTGGTCGCAGGGGAAGGGCGCCGACAGGGGGGGTCAGAGGTCAGAGGTCAGATTGTTGGTAGGCAAGTTGGAGCCGAGGAAGAAAAAGAAGAATGAAGAATTGGAAAGCGGAACGTCGATGTTAATGTTGATCTGACTATTGGTGTTCACGTCCATGCCGACTCCCGACGCCCGACGTCCGAGGTCGACTTCGGGACTCAACTGCGGAGAGGCGGAGTGAACGGCGCCGAGGAGGGCGCGCAGGACGAATACGTCGCCCGATACGAGGATGATGGAGAATATGGATATGGATATGAGATATGGCTATGGGTACCTTATCACGCGTCACCATTCGAATGCCGGGGCTCTCGATAGCATCTGTGGTATGGCACTAACGGCGTGCGATCGGGGCCTCGGGTTTGTACGTGGGGGCGGAGGCGGCGGCGGCGGAGGCGGGAGGCC